GTGGTAGTCCACTCTAAAGCGAGGATGGTGTCGTTGATCTCCTCAATAATCCTACACTTCTCGCGAAGACGAATGAGAAACTTGTTGAAAGGGCTTGAAGGTCCCATGCGTCCTTGCCTCATTGTCTGAACAAGATTGAAAGTTCTTTTGCTCTGTCAGTAGGAATCCCGTAGGGCGAGGAGATGTGTGAGTTTTTGACTTTTATGGATAAAGTGGAGGAGATGGTGATGACCTTTCATCAGGATCTATCGTGTGTTTGGGAAGGATTTTCAGTTTCTTGGCACAGGATATGTTAGATCGGCAGAATCAGTTCAGGTTCAAATGGGAATTTTTATATAGGAGGCTTCTTGATTGGGGCATGTCTCGGTAGAATCAGGATTGGATCCTCTTGTGAAATTCTTTACATGGACTGATCTCTGAGTGCCTCGTTGAAATCTGAATTTTATTTCTAGAATAAAAATATCTTATTTGTCTTATTTTTTGTGTTGTTTTGTGTCTGCTAATAACCTATTATGAGAATACTTGACTATTTCCATTTTACCCTTGTTTCACGGTTGGACTTACTTCGTTTTCTATATATATATATATAAAGGGGTTTGGGTTTTGAGGACACACCGCTTCTACCATTTTCTTGTCTCCTGCACTCCCACTGTTATGTGTTTCACTTCCAATGACAGCCTCATGGCACCTCAAAATATTTCAGGTAGGTGGCTTCAAATGATCAGTCGTGAATGACCCCCAAGCAGAGGTTGACTTGCTACAAGAGAGTCGTGTATTTTATCATTATATCAAGCTTCAGATTATTGGTAATGTAGATCTAGCAACTTCATTGTATGATGCAGACCTTTTGTTTTACAAGGACTAATTCTGGTTTGGCCTTCTCTTTCCTCTTTGCACCAAACTAGGCTTCGTCTTTGCTAACTGCGGGGTCATCCCTTCACAAGAGAAGCACAATTCTATTGTGATCGTCATGACCTTTATGATATTCTATCAATGAGGAGGGATTCCATGGTCTATTGCATACTTAATTTATTGTTCTCATTCCAAGTTAAACCAAACAATTTTGTCTAGTTTTCTTTGACCGAAAAATTCCAACTACTTTGTTTGGAGATCAAAGTGAAGAACTGGAATCGAAGATTCTTCTTGGCTTCCACTATGAGGGTGGTTCGTCCGGACGGTCTCATCTTGGGATGCCTCTCCAAAGGTGAAGGCCAGAGTGTCGGCAAGGTACTGTTAGAGGTGAGCTAGATTGAGAGGACAAGGTTGTTGGTCTAACAGTACATGGAACTAGCATATGTTGACAAGGAACAACATCCAAACCCCTCAAGGAAATAACCAAGGCTAATTGGGAAGCCTCTGATGTCCATTGGGCAAGATGGAGGCAATGCTAACAACTCACCCGTTTGAGACCTCCTCAATCTCCATCCCCTCTGAAGATGGTAGGAACTATGTTGATTGTGTATTGCATGGGCTCAGATCAACCTCTTATAATATCTTCAACATAAGAATTTCCCTATTGATGAGTAGTTGCTCCTTGTGTCACGAACTCCTTCAACTCTTAAATTTGATCAAATCTTCAATCAAATCCCTTAGATACTCATCGTTGATGAGTGGTCACGATGATAAGAAAAGCTGATGAGTGGTAGACACTATTCAGTGTCATGATCGTGGTCACAATGATAAGCACAATATTTCTTTTAGTCCTGATGATAAGCTCCAGCTTTCATTAGAGTCTCCTTTTTGAAATGGTTCATATTTAGGATGGCCTTCACCATCTCGGGCATTGAGACTCTTAGAAGAGTCTGCTTGGGAATCTCGTGAGTAGGTTGTGGTCACTCCTCATGTCAAGCTAATGTCGTCCAGGGTATCATGCTTGATTTTCTTGGTAATGGGCAATGTCGATCACTCGATTATTTGAGTGTTTTCGTGGGTCTTCAAAGTAAGCTCAGGAAGGAGGGAGAGGGATGTGTCTCAACTTCCACCCTTCGTCATGGGCAATTCTCTTTGTTGGATGATGATTGGTTTACTCGGTTCTAAATGAAACGAGGGAGAGTTATTCTCTTCCATCAATATGTGATTATTAGCTAGCTTCAACAGCTTGGCTATTGTCTTCAGTCATTTTAATCTCAGTGATTAACACAAAATGTCATTCCTTCAATCGTTGTATGAGAGCCGCATGAGCGATCGTGGGTTCCCTTTGAACCTATAACATTTCCTTCTGGTAATGGGTGACAAAGGTATACATGGTTTTGTTCTGTCCTTGGCATAGTTGTTGGAGAGCTTGCGAGCTCTTTTGGGGTTTTTGAGTATTACCAAATTGTGCAATAAATATTCGCTTGAAATATGTGAACAACATGATTACTCTTGGTATGATTACTCCTGGTTGTAATCCATTGAACTACCTAAGAGTCAAGTCCCTCAATATGCTAAAAAAGAGTCAACACTTCAGCGCATCGTTGATCTTCAGAAGACAGACAGTCAACTCGAAGGAAACGATGTGATCAGTCAGATTCATCTATCCCCTGTAAGATTCAAGTGTTAGGATCTTAAATCATTTCTGTAGCTCAACATCAAAGATTTGTCAAGAGAATGTATTTTTTAGCCAGCACGACACTTTAGTATTCCTGGCTCAATGTCAATCAACCGTTGCAGACCCATCATTGCTAAGATACTTAGTTTCCTCCTCCCTCTCCATGACTAGGGGGAGGTACTCTTTTGTTATTTGGTGTAAAATATTTATGTAGGGTTTGTTAATCCCGCTCTCAATTTAGTGTTTCTCCGATCATCTCTAACATTTGATTCTTTAGAAACTTGATCAGTTGGACTACAATCTCTCTGGTGCACTCCATGTTATTGTTAGACTTTTTCTTATGAGGTCTTTTCTTTGTATGTCTCATATTTTTTTGGTGACATGTTTTATGTTCACCGTACTTTTTAGGATGTTGAATCTAATATTATATGTGAATCATACCCAATGAATAAATCAAAAAAAGAGAGAGGGAGGGAGGGAGATGAATAGTAGTAAACTGTGGTCCTTTGTTATTAAATATTTCCCCTATTTATAGATTAAGTAGTAGAATGAAAATATTATATTTTTACCTCCAATTGAAGAAAGTCTATAGTAGGGTATTTCTGTTATTTTATAAGAGACAACTTATAGATCGGTTGCCTTCTAGCTAGGCACACTACGTTTAATTGACTTTGCTTGACTAGGTCAGCCCGTTCAACAAAGCTTGAACTGTGGGGTTTGGTCGGTTGATCCTGTCTAGTCGACTATTTTAAATCTTTGGGTCTTCATTGAATTGTCGAGGATACTTTGTAGAATTGACTCTTCCATTTGGTCGCATCCATGCATAAAAAGTTATTGCATTGAGTCAATTATCCTGCAGTTGATGGTATGGATGCTCTCTTATCTTGTTTCCAGTCGCATGGCATATGTTTTGATTGCTCAGTCGTCTTCTTGTCCACCTGTTGGCTTGGTTAGTCTTGGCCTGGTGACTTGGCTTACATGGCTTGGCCGATCTGATTTGTTAGGCCTCACGATCTCCTTGCAGTGAATCTGCCTTCATAGTATTATTCTCTTTTAGAACACTAGATATTTATAAGATCAGTGAAGACACCTTTTTTGATGTACATATTATTTTTATTTTATTTTAATTTTTATCAAAATTTATCATTTCCCTAATAATAATTTAATTATTTTGCATGTTATCACAAGTAGAACTCTAGAACATGGCATTTTAGAATTTAGAAGTAGCACCATAAGAAACTTCATGGCAGAAATATGCATATTATGGCTAGAACTCACAATTACATGCCATTTTTTTTAAAAGCTTTAAATTTAGCAACCTTTATGTACATACCACGCAATTCTTATCTCTCTCTCTCTCTCTCTCTCTCTCTCTCTGTATATATATATATATATATATATATATAATATAATATAATGCATTAGTGTCATAATCACATAAAAAATATATGCATATAAAGGTGTATTTCACTTTAAAAATGTTAGTTTTAGTGATATTTTTAATATAATGTTAATTAATTTAATGTTCTAAGGGCAAAAAAGTAAATTTTGATATTTAATATGCCAACATATAAGAATTGTGTGGTATGTATGTACATCCCCACTAAATTTTACAATTTATTTGGGCAAAGTTAATTGAGTAAATCTACATGTTACTATTCTAATTGATTATCGTAAGTAGTTGATGCAATTTTGTTGACATGTAACTAAAAGTAGTTGTGATTCTTTTTATTTCTTTTATTATTGTTATTTTTTTGTTGTGTATAGCAAACAAATTTTTTAATTGATGTTCAACCTCATAATGCCCAAAAAATGAATACTAGCATTGATAACACAAGACCAACGCGTGTTAATCAGTACCTAAATTCTCTTCACAAGTATCTTCTCGTATAAGTTATTGTGCTTTCACTTTTGATTTAGCGATCAAACCCCTTTAAAGATCATGGAAGGAAGCGCGTTCTGCCATAAAATGAAAAACATTAGAGATTTTCTCTATAATCTACTTGAAAAAATTAATGACTTGTAAAAGAGTATACAATCAACTTTTAATCATTCAAATAGCATTAAAATTTTTTTATAAATTTATGGTTAGTATATCAAATTCATAGAAACATTAAGAAATAATAATGAAAAGAAAAAAAATCATATTATTGGATTCAAATTGGTTAATGAGCCTACCTAGGTTGGTATGAAGGCGAAAGGAAAAGAAAAAGTGTAGGAGAAGAATAGATAATCTACCCCAATGTTTAGCCTTGCATCATGTTTAGCCTTGCATCTCATTTCCATGGAGAAGTCCCAATCAATTTATATGGAAAAAAAGAAATAGGAAAGATCAGCATGAGCATTTGTCCTGAGGAAGGAAGAAGATCTTCTACCATGTATTCTAGGTCCTAGGGTAATCCCATGGGTGTCAGGACATCAAGGATGGAGTTGTCCTGTCTGCAAGTATGCTGCACATTCTTAGTCTACCAGTTCCCAGATGCTATCTCATAACCAATGTCCTCCTTCATCAGATTCTGGGTAAGGAAGGGTCCAAAAATGCCGTGTTTGGTGAGTTTCATATTGCCCATGCCGCCCTATCTGTTCATCTTACCGAACTGGTGGATAGGTAGCATTCGTCGCTCTCCATGTGTTCTTCTTATATCCAGGTGTTAGATCAGAGTTCAATCATCCAAAATGTGGGCAGTATCTAGGCGTTGGCTCGACTACTTAACCAATATTGATTGGGTGGCAAGACCGACACCAAGACATGTGCCGAAGGAGTATACCATATTATGGCTGTAAATTTCACTCCAAATTCAAGATCGCTAAAAATTGAATCCTATTTGAGCTTGAATTGTGCAAATTAATGTTGGCAAATTAGGTTCAGCATTTCTTAGATTTGAATTGAGTTGAACTTGGATCAAATCAACTGAACTATAGAGATAATAACATGTATAGCACCTGTAACATGCTATTTACAAAATCTAGCACCCAGATGATATATTTGAATGAATTTTGATATTAGAGAGAGGGGGCTAGATTTATAAATATTAATGTTTTGGGTGCTTTATTTGTAAACTAAAATGTATTTAAATGATGGTTTTTCTCCCTAACCATACCTGGAATGTTCTTTTGAGTTGGACGCACTTCAATTGTGTAATTTGTGGCAAACTGTAGAGTTGGGATTGGCCAAAGTACCTGTAGAAGATCCATCAAGGATAAATAGAGGAGCCGTTAAAAATTAAATTTTCTGTTAGGGATATATTTATTATTTGGCATACACATGTTGGCGTAGCAAGGCTGCTTTGAGACAGGATCTTCTTCAAAAGGCGGCGGCGCTTGGCCATAAATCATTTCACAACTCATATCTTCAAAATCTGCGTGGATAACAGCATTAAATTCACTTATTTTTTCACTGTCTACTAATTCATTTATTTATAAATCATATAAAAATTTAATTATAATATAAACTAGTAATTTTCATTATTATAGTGGTGTTCTAGCTATACTTTTAATTAATAAATTTTGTTTAAATCATACTTCTCAATTTTTTGAAATCATCAAGTTTTACAATATATATATATAATTATGCCGGTTTCTTTCATGGAACAATCAGGAGGAATAGTGATTGTTCAATTAAAATTAAATATTACTAAACACAACCACTAAATTAGGACTTATTTGTGATCAATTTTATTCTCTATCTTATTTTTAATTTTCTTAACATATTCATTTAATGTGATTTTTACATATTTTTATTCTTCACTTACTGTTGAAATATATTGACAAACTTTTGTTATTTGCTATTTGAATTATATCTAAATAATAAAATTATATAGATATATTTTTAAGTTAATAAAACTAATTGATATGTTTTATTAATAAAAAATTATGGCTCAAACTGTTGTTCTGACATGTTAAATATTTTTTTTAATTCATATTATTAAAGGCACATTTGGTGCGATGGTAGAGGTGTGGTGCGATCCATGCCGCACTGTTTATGCGTTTGACAAAATTGAGTTTTGTTTGCTTGCTCCGGAAGCTATGGTGGGAAAGCTGTATTTTATAACTTTTTCTAGTTAAGTTGAGTGGTTGTTAATAATAACATTCACTGTAGCTTCTTGAATAATGACTTTTTTTTACAACAACTCTACAACTACTTCAAACAACTACATCTGTCTCAAATACACAGTTGTTTGACAAGAGCAGAAAGCCTGAAAAGTCGACTAAGGCCTCTTGTCCAAGCTAAGAAAACAGAAGGCCAAATTTGGACAATATAGGCCTAGGTAGAGATTCATTTATATGATTCTAAGAGACACAGCTTGGCAACCAAACCAGGACCGTGCAAGTAGAAAAAGGATATAAACAACATAACTCTAACAGAATCATTGAACAAACTCTTTTCAAAAGAACGAAAAAAGCATACGTCGCTCATGGTTTCAAACATAACTTATTTTTAAATAAATAACACATTGCATCATATCAATTCAGTAACTAGTAATAATCTAACACCCAAAATTTTCATATTGATTTTATTCAAGAAGTGTTTTTGATCCATTTTTTTCTTCGTGCCAAAAAAAAATTTAAATTTGAAGTGGGAACTACAGTTAGAGGGGTTGAGATGATTTAAAATTGTGAGAGAAGCCATTAGTAAAGGGGGTTTATAGGAGTCCAAGAGTATTTTTTTGTGAAGTCTTGTGCAGAGATAGTGAGTGTGATGTCTTGAGAGCGTATTTAAACAAGGAGATTAAAATGCGAGTGAATGACAAAAGGAAGGGAGCAAGGAAAATGATTTGAATAACTTTATACAACTAGTGAAGTTGGAATTGTAATCAAAGATTTTGGTAGTCCTAGTTCCTTTATCTTTTATTTCATTTTTTTATTTGTAAAATCTTTTAATTCTGAATTTCTATTGATAAAATTCTACTTCTAGGTAGCCAATGAACTGAACTTTTTCTTCTATTTGAATTTTGTAAGGCATCCATATTTGTATTTTACAAGAAACATCTTTCTATCTAGTAAAAAAGTTTGTTGGTTACGAATGGAATCCAAAATTCTATTTCAATATATATATATATATATGAACTAAGAGACTTCCTGTAGTTAAGTTTTTTTTATTATGATTGGATAAGTGAATTGTCCTTTAGATCTGTGACTTTTCCTTTTCAAATTTTCTTAATAATAAATTTGAGTTGAGCTTTTATCTTAATTACTTATTTACTAGTACTCCAATTTCATTTAGCAAAGTTTAGTGGCCATGCAGTTGCTTAAAGTCTCTTGAAAGTTTAAAATATTGATAGAGTCTTGATTTTCAATTGGAGTTTAATTAGTAATTAGGGGTTGGGATGGTAGACATACATCAACTAGACCTTTGCAATCATCTAGAACAAATATTTTTTCAATGTTAAAAGTCCTTAGCGTATGGACATGTAGCATTGTCAACTTCTAAAATTTGGGTTTTTAATTATCAATAAAGATTAGAAACTAATATACAATTGATTAATATTAGAGTTGTTTTAAATTCAAAATTTGGGAAAATTGAATTTAAAATTTAACAAATCTTAAAGTTCATCACTACTAGAATATATGTTTAGTATTTTTCTATTAAAACCTAAAATTCTTCGAATTGAATAGACTTAGGGGTTTGAAAATGAGTAATTCATTTTCTAAATAGTGGTTTGCATCAATTCCTCATGAGAATGATTTGATCTATGCACAATTTACACAAGGCCTAAATAGTAATTGATTCGACCTATCTACTGTTCAACTATTACTATTTGAATGACATGTGCACCTGTGTGAACTGTGCATAGGCCAAATCAACGAGTTCTTTAGCAAACATGTTGTTAAACTCGTTGAAGACAAATAAGCTATATATGATAGGGTCCAAACTACTCATCGAGCGAACTCTCAACCATGTCTTTAGGCAACTTTCCATCTCGCATCGATGAGCTATCTCAGGCCTTGGGAGAGCCTAAGAAGTTTAAGTATTGAAGTATTTGGTGACTTGGTTGAAGTTGTTTCATAAAATAAGTGCAACTGAATTAACTCAAATCAACATTGTGTAATAATTAACTCCTCAATCGTTGCTTGCCTTTTCTAAACTTTGAAAAGAAAATGAGAATAAGTTGTGTAAATCAATTCAATGTGGGTGATCTTAAATTTATTGTGTGTTTTGTACTTCTTCTGATTTAACAAATGGCATACACATTGATTCGTCAATTTCTACGAGATTCCTTAGAACCTCAAAGAGATATTTCATTATTCTTCATTGAGATTTTTTTGTGCATGTGAAGATACAGGGAGAAGTATAAGGCTTATTGTTGTGAGATATGTACTTCTTGGCATATAAATGAAACGCAAAGAACACAATCAAACACAGATCGTTTACGTGGTTCGATCTAACTGGATCTACGTCCACGGGAGGGAATCAATCAAATAGTTCACTAAGGCAAAAAAAATGGAGAATACATAGCTTATACATAGAGATGAACTCTCATCTTCCTTCTATGGCCTCCATTGATACAAAGTCTCAAGATGCTCTCCTTCGCTCCAGATCTCTAGCTATTCTCTCATCCTTTGTGGTAGCTTAAGATCTCTTCCCTTGCTCTCCTAAGCCTCACACCCTCTCTATTTATAGAAGCAAGAGAGTGGTAGGTGGGAGGTAGGTGAGCGGTAGGTGAGATGTGGTAGGTGAGCGGTACCACATTACAAAAGTGTCCTTTTACCTTAGTTCAATAATTG